ACCACCCCCCTTCTAATACACCCCAGGATGCCATTGGCCTTCTTGGCCACAAGGGCACAGTGTTGGCTCATGGTCATCCTGTCGTCCACTAGGACCCCCAGGTCCCTCTCCCCTACACTGCTCTCTAACAGGTCATTCCCCAACCTATACTGGAACCTGGGGTTGTTCCTGCCCAGATGCAGGACTCTACACTTTCCCTTGTTATATTTCATCAAGTTATTCCCCGCCCAACTCTCCAGCCTGTCCAGGTCTCGCTGGATGGCAGCACAGCCTTCTGGCGTGTCGGCCACTCCTCCCAGCTTAGTGTCATCAGCAAACTTGCTGATAGTACACTCAGTTCCCTCATCTAAATCATTGATGAATATATTCAATAATACTGGTCCCAGTACTGACCCTTGAGGCACTCCACTAGATACAGGCCTCCAACTAGACTCCGCCCCATAGACTACAACTCTCTGGCTTCTCTCCTTCAGCCACTTCACAGTCCACCTCACTACCCGATCATCCAGACCACACTTCCTCAATTTAGCCGCAAGGATGCTGTGGGAGACCGTGTCAAACGCTTTGCTGAAGTCAAGGTAGACCACATCCACCGCTCTGCCATCATCCATCCACCATGTTATTTCCTCATAAAAGACTATGACATTGGTCAAGCATGACTTCCCCTTGGTGAAGCCATGTTGACTGCCCCTCATAACCCTCTTATCCTTGATATGCCTTAAGATGGCACCAAGGATAAGGTGTTTTATCACTTTCCTAGGAATGGAGGTGAGGCTGACCGGTCTATAGTTACCCGGGTCCTCCTTCTTGCCCTTTTTGAAGACGGAGTGACATTTGCTTTCCTCCAGTCCTCAGGCACCTCTCCCGTTTCCCAAGACTTGGTAAAGATGATGGAGAGTGGTCTAGCAATGACCACTGCCAGTTCCCTCAGCACCCGTGGGTGCATCCCATCTGGACCCATGGACTTATGGATGTCCAGATTGCTCAAATGGTCTCTAACCCATTCCTCATCGACTAAGGCAAACCGCTCCGTTGACCTGACTTCATCTGAGGTCTCAGCGGTACAGGACTCTTCAGGACTGCCTCCGGCAGAATAGACAGAGACGAAGGCATTCAGTAACTCTGCCATCTCTGTTGTCCCATTTTACCAGTTAATCCAGTATGGGTGATATTACTGGTTCCCAAATTAAACTCCAGTAAACCAAGGTATGTTGCACAGCTGCCCCATGAGCTGCACTGCTTTTATAAAGTCTTCAGCTGAAAATGTGATTGCACCATGATATGCTGGACCATGAGGAACCCAGGACTCAACTTTTGTCAAGTTCTAAAAACAGCTGATTCACTTCCTATTTTCTGACTTCCATTTTCCAAATCATGAAATAAGTCTTTCCACTGATGAATCAAAGTGTTTTAAGAAATTATTCATTTTTATTCCCTGTCTAAATTGAGAATTTCCATGTTTATGTTCTCTAAGCTGGGGGGTTTACCAATGAACTGAGGGTAATAACAACAAACATGTAACTTACAATTTGTAAAATTTTCTGTTGGAATGATCTGAACTGCTAATCCCCAGATATATTCAAGACTGTGGTCAAAATTACAAGACTGCAGTCAAATTACAAGACTGCAAGCTCTGGCAATCTACCCCAGCAGACTTCATATCTGTTTTCCCAACTTTGCAAAAAGAACTAAGGTAGCTGGACACTAAAATTCCGCTGATCATGTGCTTCTACATCCACAAAATCAAAGTCAGATGGCATCATATTAGACAAGTCACCTAGCTTTTATGAGCCTCGATTTCTTTATGGTCAAGACAGGAATGTTTGTCTATGCTGTTGTTCAAAGAGTCTTTGTAATGTATGCTACAGTTGCCAAGTGTGCAGGGGTAAGAACAGTTGTTTTAAAGAGTGGAGAGAAAGGAAATAATCCAACTGCACCTGTGTACAGCCTCTCCAATTGAAATAATGCTCTGTATCTGTGTGACACATTGCTTGCGTACAGAGGCCATTATTTTCTGGCAAATGCTCTATTTCTGTATCTGTAACATTTCAAAGTGTCAGAGTGCACCAAAGTCATTAATAAAAAGACACTAACATTAACTTCAATATATCCCTGCATTTGATTATATGAAAGGCATCATTAAAGAATAATGAATTCCAGCAGCCAAGAGAGACAGCACATCTCAGACAGAGATAAGCAAAGTTTCCTTTTGGGAATTTACTGCTCATCACCCACAGCAGCAATTAAGACACCAGAATGCCTTGGAGCTGATTTGAAATACTGTGTGATCTGATGACAATGAAAACCATTTTCAGTGATTAGCAGACCTTTAAGCCAAACTCCTGTCACAGAAAGACAAATAACTGCAGGATATTTCAGGTCATTTCTCCCCTTATCTTAGCTTCCACCACAGTTATGTGCCCAGTTTTACAAGATACACAACTGCTTCCAGTGTGCTGTTTCCATGTGACTGAAGTACAAGGTCTAACACAAATACACTCCAAACTGATTCCACTAAAAAGTTATTGCATTTTTCTTTCTGTGGCTATGATATGACTTGTAACAGTTTTTTTCTGAGTAGAAATATACATTTAAAATTATGCAATTTATACTACTGTCTGGAAGCAACACAGTAGTAATGGGTCACTACTTTCAGAACATAATTAGGTTCCTGAGGCTAAAATCCAGCTTGTAGATCAATATTTGAATCCACTGGAAGAAGTCTTTTGATGAGTCAATTGTTTGATTCACTGATCATGAGAAAAGATGTTTTGAAGTTGTTTGAGACAGATCAGGCGTGTAAAGTCATAGTGTCTAACAGTCACATAACTTATCCCTTTCCCAGGATGCTGTGTCCATACCTAACTGGGCAGCATGCATTCCCAAAACACCTATTTTCCCATTGTCTTTCAGCTACCAAATTATTCTTACTGTATTTTAGGAAACTGGTGGTAGGAAGCACACTTAAGTGGGAAAATGAGTGGCTTTGTACACATAAAAGCAAGAAGCAGGGCTGTAACACTTGAAAGACCAGGGTAAACTAGAAAAATCATCATGCAATGGAATTATGACAACAGATCATACAGTTCCTGTCACTGAAAGCTTTTCAAAACAAATTCAACAAATTCATCATTAAACATTTTGTAAGATTTAACACCGCTTTAATCAGTTAACTTGGTGCCACCTCAGAAATAAAGGGAGGTTAGAAATACATCACATTCATAGTGATAATCAACTACAACAAAGCAAACATTCCACTTAAGTGACATCTGTGTAAAGTCACAAAGCAGGACTTCTGATGACATGAATAAATTCAACATGGAACTGAAAATTACAATTCTGCCTGGATTAAACCAGACTTGCAACCCTTATATTTGAAAACAAACATTGGCATTCCTACTTTAGTGGCAGATGCTGATCCCGAGTTTGTGTTCTGAAAGCAAAGTGGAAACAAAGCTGCTACACAGACTGGAGTAGACAGGCAAACCTGAGCTACTGAGGCAGGTATTTAAAGCTGAACACACTTAGCAGGTGCATCAGCCAGGCTCTCATATGTATCTTGCATATGTGTTCAAGTACAAAATTCGATTCAAAATTGCTGGGTTTTAATCAGCTTTGCAACACTGATTTTTGCATATCACCTTTAGCAAAGGGGACTCAGCTAGTTATCAGTGCAAACTGTTTTTTCATTAGTGCCCCTGCCTCAACACTCCTGCATTACTAAAAAGAAGTTCCAGGCAAGGACAAAGACTGCTGCACCTAGAATGTATTCTATTCATCAAATTCACCAGCTGCCTTCCCACTGGGTCATAGACCCATAGAACGGTTTAGGTTGGAAGAAACCTTAAAGATCATCCAGTTCCACCCACCCTGCCACGGGCAGGGACACTAGCGCAGGTTGCTCAAGGCCCCGTCCAACCTGCCCCCAAACACTGCCAGGGATGGGGCAGCCACAGCTTCTCTGGGCAATCTGTGCCAGTGCCTCAGCACCCTCACAGTGAAGAATTTCTCCCTTATATCTAATCCAAATCTCCCCTCTGGTAGGTTAAAGACATTCCCCCTTGCCCTTGTAAAAAGTCCCTCTTCAGATTTCTCGTAGGCCCCCTTTAGGTACTGGAAGCTGCTCTAAGTTGTTCCCAGAGCCTTCACTTCTCCAGGCTGAACTCTTTCAGCCTGTCGTCACAGGAGAGGTGCTCCAGCTCCTGGATCATCTCCGTGGCCTCCTCTGGACTCACTGCAACAGGTTCACATCCCTCTTGTGTTGGGAGCTCGAGCTGGACACAGTACTGCAGCTGGGGTCTCATACGAGCAGAGGGGCAGATCACCTCCCTCGACCTCATGTTGATGCAGCCCAGTTTCCCGAACTAGCCGTTTCCTAATTGAGGGCAGTTTGGACATGCAAACATCTCCCTGGTTGGGTCCCAACGAGATCTAACGGCAGGTTAGTGCTACCTACTGACTGCACCTCAGAAGAGCCCTCAGAAATGAGCGAGAGAACGGGCCAGGGCATACCTTAACCCACCCCGCTCACACCAACGAGCGTAGCCCCTGAGGAGAGCCCTGACGGGAGCCCTGGGCCCGCGCCGCGGCCGTTATTCCCAGCTGCACTCGGCACCACCTGAGCTTCGCCCCGCCGCCCACCTCTGCAGCCGCCTAGAAGAAAGAGGCCGTCATGACGGCGAGGAGCTGCTGCCACTGACCCTCACCCTCCTATCCCGACCCAGCCCCGCGGCGGTGCTCACCATGGCGATGGCGCCAGCTGCAGGAAGAGCCCGCCTCACCCTGCTGCGGCGAGCGCGACGTGACGGGCCCTTGGCAACCGAAGCCCCGCCGCCGTGCGCGGCCCAGCGATTGGCAGAGGGGACTGACGTCACCCGGAAGCGTTGGGCTCGCGGCAGGAAGCGGAAGCCGCAGGAGGTGGCCGTTGTGTGCTCCGGTAACGTCCTCGGGGCCCGGGCCGGGGTTGCTGGGCCGGCAGGGGCTGCACCCGGCCTGGTGGAAACAAGGCCGGAGCTCGAAAGCGGCCGGGGCTGAGCCTGAGCCCAAGGAGCGCTGGGTGCGTGTTGGCCGGTCCTGCCGTGGACGGAGAAGCGTCTTTTAAAGAGCGGTGGGTAATGTCCAGCTGTCGTTTACCGGCAGGCTGGCGGAGTTCGGTTGAAGCTCGGGTGAGGGGGGCATTCGTCGCCCGTGGCAGCCGGGGCTGGGTTGTGGTGTTTTTCTGAGGCCGTGGTGTGTCATGGCTCAGTCGTGTTAATGCAGGATTTCCTTGCGTTGCCTGTCGTGGCGGTTCTGTAGGGCAGGATGTTAGCTGAGAAGTGCGGCAGTTAACGATTCAGTCGGTGAAGGAGCTTTGCCTATAGGAATGTAATAAAAGGGGATTTTTGCAGAGGCTTACGCTGAGGTTTGTACATGTAGCAGGACAGTAAGAACAGTATTACAGCATGAGCATTAAAAGAGCAGGATAGTCAGCAGGTGGTCTCAGATGAAGCAGAGAGGACCAAATGCTTATAATCAGTCCTTGTTGAGTATTCTTGCCCTTTTCTGAGCTTTCATCGTCTTTGTTCTCTTCAAGTGAGTAGAGATCCTCAATCAAAAGTAAACAGTAGTGATGAGTGGTATTAAATGAGCAAAAACATAACACCAGCTGTAGAAGCAACAGAAAACAAGATCATGGAATCACAGAATGGTTTGGGTTGGAAGGAACCTTAAAGCTCATCCAGTTCCAAATCCCTGCCATGGGCAGGGACCCCTTCCACTAGAGCAGGTTGCTCAAAGCCCCATCCACCCTGGCTTTGAATACTGCCAGAGATGGGGTAGCCACATCTTCTCTGAGCAACCTGTGCCAGTGACTCGCCACCGTCATAGTGAAGATGTTCCCATATCTATCGTTTGAAAAAGCTTAAGGTGTTTCTTTTGTCTTCTGGTCCTCACAAAGATAAACCTGTCTTCCACAAAACAGATTATGAATCCAGAGATCTGGAAGTAGTGCACACCACTGTCATTATCTTTGCAGGGCAGAGCTGTAGCAGTGAAAGTCAAAAAAAGTTCTAGTTAAGCGTTTCAGTTGGTGCCATAACAAAAGAAAGCAAGGGCTTTGGGAGAGCTCTCTTGAATAACAGGGAAAACTGAAAGAAGAAGAAAAAAAAGGGAGATAGATCGATCTCAAACTAATGTAGTGAGAGATCCTGGAAAAAGGAGGATGAGTGACCTGGAGAACTGAGAATGGATGGGTGTGTAGATGAAGGAAGCAATGGTGGATAAGGGAGAAAATGGCCAGGATGGCAGTTTGCGCCAAACTATGGGTAAAGTTTTACTGTTAGGTTAAATTAAGCATGTGCAGCCACTCGGGGCACTGACTTCTGCTCTGGGAATTGGCTCTACCAAAAAGTTGTATTAGCAAGTGGGACTAAAGCACTTGTGCAGCTGCCATCATTTCTTCCTCACCTCTTGGTCTGCTTTAAGCACAGTGTGGGATTTCCCTTTCTCTTGGTTCTGTGATGATCTTTGGTTATCTCTGCAGTCATGTAGTTTTGCCCTGGGAGTGTTACAGAGCTTTAAAGGGTAAGGTGATGGAGCTCAGAAAGAAAAATTTGAGGAATGGAAGCTGAACTGGATGAGGAGCAGAAGACAGGAGTTGCAGTTCAGCTCCTAGTGAAAAAAACCAAACCAAACCAAAATGAAACAAGTGCCAAAAGTCTCACAGTCCTTTGAGACTTGGTGTGGGTTTGATAACTTTGGTTTTTGTGGGTTTGGTTTGGGGTTTTTTCCTTTGTTTTGGTGTGATCTTTTTAACTATGCAACTGAACTGGAGTTCAGAGGTTGTACATGAAATTAGAGATTAACTGTCAGTGTTACCTTACTGAAGATTTTCTTTTCCCCCCCTCCCCCCCCATTTCCTCCTCAGACTTAAGAAGAGCTGACTACTAAAGAGAAAATGGCATCTCTAGAAAAAGGTAGGTGGTTCACATGATATCTAAGCAGACTGGATTAAAAGTACTTTAATTTGAATTCTTAAGACCGGAGTTAGACTGTATGCCAGGTTCCATTCATTTAAACTTAGTCATTTTATGTGGCTACTAGGAAGTAGTTATGTGATTATGTTATTGCAGTGAAAACCCATGTTGCCTGGATGTAACAGTGAATTTAATGTTGTTTTCTAATCCAGCTTTGTATTGAAAAACAAGTTTATCACTGGTCTGTTATCTGTAAGTACACTTCTCTGTCAGTTCTCTGGTATTCAGAGCCTGTTGGTACTGATGTAACCAAGTTGAAAGTTGGGCAGTATGGGGTGTTACTACTGCATTTTTGAAATTCATTATTTGGATGGAAGACACAGGCTCACATTACTGCCCGCAGTATGAGGAAAAAAGCAGCATGTGTACCTAAGAGTATGCTCCAAAACTTTCTTGCTTTCTCCCATTATGAGGAAATTGTGCAGCAGTACTTCAGTCAGCTGAAAATTTAGTGAACTTAAAAAAAATGAATTGCAGTAAATGTTATCATGTGTATTGGGGAATTCAGAACAGAATGAAGCATTGCTGGAAATACTGGGGTCTGTTGATTAGAAATGAAGCAGAACTGGCTTGTTGGCTTTTCTTAAACCTTCAATTAGACAACTAAAACACATGGTACCTTAACAATCTGCTAGATTTATTAAGGTGTTAGTAGCTATGTAGCTAATGACTGCTTTTCATTTCTTACTTTTAGAATGAAACTGCTCTGATTCTGTCAGTTCTGAAAAACTGATTTTGCTTTCAGCCTATGAGTGATATTGTCAAGAATTTCCTCTGTACTATCTCTCTTTCATGTTTGCATTTCATCTTATATGGCAGCAAGAAATTGCAATTGGTACAATTCAGATCAATGTTTGTGTTGTCCTATTAGTATTAATGAGCAATACACACTTGAGTTAGGATCTTTCTGATTCATGCTTCATGATTGCTGCTGCAAAGGAGTCTTTCACACACAATGTGCAATTAAAGTCTCTAACTTTGAAGTACAGAAATTAAGTGAAGAGTTTCAGTGAGACTAAGAAAGTGAAAGGTGGTAAACTTTGCCTCTGCTATTTCTATATTTCAGTTGATGATGCCTCATCACCCATCCGAGGACCTGGAGATGGCATGGAAACTGAGCAGGCAGCTGGATCGGTGGAAGTAATCACTGGAGCCAACACTGTGAACCACCACAGTCCACATAAAAAGACAATCTCTTCTCTGAGTCCTGGAGTTCTGCAGCTGGGGAAAGTGCCTGTTGATAAATCAGTGGAGATTGAAGCTATTCGTATATTAGTCCCCAAAGCAGCTATCACCCATGTTGTTCCAGCTAAAAATGCTAAGGTGGCTAAATCAGAGGGACATAAAGGAGACACGTTCCATCAGTCAGATGGAGCTGCAGATCCCAAGAAAGAGCAGCAAGAGCTGAAAAATGCAATTGAAAAGCTAAAGAATTCAGAAAAGCGGTTGTTACAGGATAAAGAAGGGCTCTCTAATCAGCTGCGTATACAAACAGAGGTAAGAAATGAAAGGTGTTTTCTCTTACACAGCTGAGCTGCTTTGGTTTATATATAAACAGTTTGTGAATGTGACCAAAGAGCTGCTATGACACTAGACTTGAGACAAGTGGTTTCCCCCTTGAACTACAAGCGAAGATACAGAGTAGAAGTACATCTAAGTATTCCAGTGCTGCTTCTCTGACAACCAGTGAAAGAAAGCCTTGAAGCTGTGAGAAATGCGTTAGAGGGCTGCAGGGAAATGGATCTTCCACAGGGAAAGATTTGCTTCTGAATTCAACTGCTAAGTGAAAAATGTGATGCCATAGCAGGAGTGACTCTAATATTCTAAACACTATCCATTTGTTGATGTCTTGTCTGATCCTTTGTTATCTGATTGATTCAGGACTTGATTACTACTGAAACTTTTTGTTTCCTGTAGCAGGCTTTCATTCTTCCTCTCTGGCCACTGTTAGTATTTAAGTAAGAGTGTGCTAAACATACATTGGTCTCAGGTGTTTATGCTCACTAGAGTGGATTCTGAGCCTTAATATACCCTGCACTGTATACATTCTATTCAGGAAAGGGAAAAGCAGTTTGCAGTAACTTGCATTGCATTCTGGAGGTAGGAGGTGTTTCATTGTATATTGATAATTAAAGGCAGTCTGGTCTAATTCTAGGTGAATCGGGAGCTGAAGAAATTACTTGTTGCTTCTGTTGGGGATGATCTGCAGTACCACTTTGAACGAATGGCTCGTGAGAAAAATCAGCTAATCCTAGAAAATGAAGTCCTGGGCCGGAATATGTCTCAGTTGTCTGAACAGTTAGAGCGCATGTCTATCCAATGTGATGTGTGGAGAAGCAAATTCCTAGCAAGCAGGTATTCCTCCTTACAGAGCTGTTCTAATGCATTCTCCTTCAGTCTTGTATTGTGTATGCCCATTGCAGTGCCTGGTAATGTGCTTACATACGTAGACAACAGCCACAGCAGCTATACTGACACCTACTATGCAGTTTGAGTTTACAGAAAAGGTATAGAGAAAGTAAGCGCTTTGAAAACCAAAACCACTCAGATTTACAAAGGTAGTACAGTGGATCCTATACCTCCTAAAAACTACAGTTCTTCTTCACATATCAAGAGAAGATCTTAATTCTGATAGACTATGTGTAGTTTAGGGTTTAATTTTTTTTTTTCCAGGACATCTGTCTTGACTTGTCTTAAAGGCAGTTAGCTTGATTTTCATCTCCATCCTTGTTGTGGTTTAGACCCAGCTGATAACTCAGTACCATGCAGCCACTCACTCTCAACCCCCCTCGTTCCCAGTGGTGTGAGATGGTGAAGAGAATCAAAAGAATGTAAATCCCATGGGTTGAGATAAATACAGTATAATACTACTAATAATAATGATAAGGTAAACAACAAGGGGAGAGGATATAAAACTAAGGGGGGGGGGTTGGGGGGGACGACACCACCAAAACGGTAAACACAAGTGATGCACAATACAATTGCTCACCACCTGCCAACTGGTACCCAGCCTGACCTGAGCAGCAATCAGTCTCTTCCTGACACGCCCCCCCTCAGTTTATATACTGGGCATGATGTGCTGTGGCATGGAATACCCCTTTGGCTAGTTTGGGTCTGGTGTCCTGTCTCTGCTTCTTGTGGCCCTCAGTGGCAGAGCATGAGACTGAAAAGTCCTTGATCAGGATAAGCCTTACTTAGCAACAACTAAAAACATCAGTGTGTTATCAGCTTTGTTCTCAGACTAAAGTTGGAAACACAGCACTGCACCAGCTACTAAGGAAGAGAAAAGTAACTGTTAGAACCCAGGATAGGGCATCTCTTTGTTAAAACACTGGTTGTGATACTGCTAAGAGCCCTGCTGTTGCTTCTCTAACCATAAAAGCTAGTCTGAATGTAAAAATTTCATTTGATAAAGGATTAGATTTTAACTTGCCCAGTATGGTTGTCTTACCAGATCTGTAAATAGTGTTCTAGGGTTTTTAATCTACTGTACTCAGCTGTAAGTGACTAAATTTTAATCATGATGCTTAATGCATATTACAAAAGACCTTACTGCTTGAAGGAAATGGTAATACAATACAGTCTCTTCCCTTTAATTTGCTGGTCTTAAGAAGTTTCAGCATATGAAGTTAATGGTAAGGACTTGTGATTGTCCTGGCTAGGCAAGAGTTACTATTCTAACTTAAGTTGTTTCTTCAGCATTAATAGGAGTTCTGAGATCAGGAATGTAAATTCACTGGTGATGTGCTTGGAGTAACACCTTTCAATATCATAACATTACGGTTTGTTGAGAGCTTAGATTTCTAACTGGCTGTGGTTTAAATGTCATTGTTTTTTGCATTTGGAGTATAGGTAGGCATTTGAAATACTGCTTGACGGGTCAGTGCTGAGCTTCACAGCATAGCAAAATGAGTCAACAGTTGTCTCATTTGTAGCTCTTAAATGCTTATATGTGGCACATGTAATGTCTAGTTATTGCCCCTGAGAAGGGCAAAGAGGGGAATGAATGTAGTCTTTAGCCATAGGTGTCATCTTCAGAGAGGAGTATGGAAAGATGAGATTACAGCATACTTGTGAGAACTGTGTTAGTAAAACAAAATGTATTTACATTTTTACATGTAAATGTTCTGTTATCCAACATATTTTGAAATGTCTGTTGCTAGGTTTGTATTAAGTGGCATACAATTGTTTAAACTCAGCAAATCAAAATACAATCTTGCACTTGCATTCCCTGTGGTTGAACATAAATTATTCTTAATATGTGTCCTTTGTAATTAGGTTGATATGGGCTCTGTGTGGGAGAGTGAGGACAGCAGCTTAATCCTTCACTTGAGCTGACAAATGGCAGTCTGTAGTAGAATAAAGGTGAATTTCAAATTGCTCACTTACACTACTGATTGGAGATTTGTTTTGCAGGGTTATGGCTGATGAGCTAACCAATACCAGAGCAATTCTTCAGCGTCAAACCAGGGATGCACAAAGTGCAATCCAGGACTTGCTGAATGAACGCGATCAGTTCCGTCAAGAGATGATTGATACGCAGAAGTATGATTTTTCTAATCCAGACTACCTCTGTGCAAACTTCATTTCTGTCTGTTCATTATAGACCAGAGAAAAATCAAATAATTTTCCCCTGTTCCAGTGATAGTCAACAAAAATTAATTATGCTGATAGAGAGTAGTGTCATTTTTCAGCATCACAGCTGAAAGAGCCAAAGTAGCATTAATTTTTTCTTCATTGCCTTGAGGTCTGGGGTCTTAGGGGTAACATACTCTAGAGCTGACATCCCTTATATCCTCAGGATTTCTGTAGTAAATCACTTAGCTGTCTTGCCTTCAAGTCTTCTCTGTCTCCTTCTGAAACATACAGACTCTTCTACCCATGTGGACTTCTTTTGTACTTATCCTGACAGTTGTCAGGTTTTAACTGTATTAAAATACCGTGATGGTGATTGCCTTGGAGAATAACCTGGTTTTTAAGCACTTTTTTTTTTTTTTTAATTTTTTTTTCTTTTTCCATGTTTCAGTTAACATTTAGCTTGTGCAGTAAGTCTTAGGAAGGGATGATTCCAGTGAAGTTGCTGGTAATACAGGGTACAAAACCCACTAATAGTGCTGTCTTCTTTTCTGCACAGGCTGCTGGAGGAACTGACGGTTTCTCTTCAGTGGGGGAGACAACAGACATACTATCCTAGTGCCCAATCTTACACTACAACAGAGCTAGCGGCTGTGAATTGTAAGCTAGCCAAAGCTGTAAGCTCACATCTTCTTGGAAATGTTGGCACTAACAGTCCAAAGAAGACTCCCACATCTGTGGAGTTCTGCAGTACCCCTGCTGAGAAAATGGCTGAAATGGTAAGAACTCTTCATACATCTCAGTCTGTCAACACAGTCTTCTTCCCAGAAAGAAACGTCTTGTGTTAAATACTTATTATCTTATCTTTTTAAGAAACTATATGAGGGTGAAACTTACTGAATAGAGATGTTCTCCCCCCCCCAAATACACACCCCAAAACCAAACAACCAAACCTGGAACAATAAGCAGAACATAAATAATATAATGATACATACTGTTTCCTTCTCTGTTCCTAGCATTAAAAATGATGGGGTCAGAATTAGTTTAGAGTCAGTGTGTCAGGAGGAAGCCAATCAAAAATACTTATCTGAGTTTAAAAACTGAGTGGGAGAAGAAATTTAGGTAGGAATAACTCATAACACTTCAGCAATAGTTTGTTGCCCTACAAATCAGTTCTGTTGAGAGTGGGTGGAAACACAGAAAGAAGCTATGTGATTATCTTTCAAGAGAAGGTTCCACCGCAGGAAGCTTGACATTTAAACGGAAAAGTAGACTAAGGGTTTAGTCTGGAAGCAATTGAGTAATGGTTGAGCAGCAGGAGGCTCACAGTGCCTACTGATCTGTGTTGCTGTTGCCTAGTTTTGCTCAACTCTGCTAAAAGAAATCAGATTTTTTTTTTAATTCTCTTTTAAAATCATAGTTTGGATTTCTGATGAACATTACTAATTTATAAACACTACCTAATGTCTTTATACTGAGGGTCTGGGAAGATGGATATTCAGTTTTCAACTTGAAAAAAATTGAAAAATTGCTTTTGGGCAGAAATCTTTCCTAGCTGGTAAAGAAGGAAAAAAAAAACATTAAACTTAATAGATATATTGTCAGTCTTGATTTTTCCATCCTTAGGTGCTACGGGTACTGGATCCAGCTGCACGTGCAGAAACATCGACAGAAGTTTCTTTTTCTGAGACTTCTCCATCCTCCTTCCTTTCCACAAAGAAGAATATTGGAAGGTTTCACCCATACACAAGATATGAAGATGTAACTTTCAATTGTTGCAATCACTGTCAAGGAGAGCTGATAGTCCTTTAAAAACATAGGCAATGCAACTGCACATGCACTCTTCTGAAGAATTACACTAGGTCACGTTCAGCAGACTGCCCTATTTCTTTCCATAATGGCTGGGTTTAACATCGGAAATGATGCAGTTTCTTACTACTTGAAGCTAGATACTGACAGTATTTCCTTAGCCTCTGGGATACTGCCACTACTTTTCAGTCTGGAAAGCTACTTCTTTTCTTCTACAAAGGCAAGACCAAAAATGTTACGCTGATCCGATTTGTAGAGCATAGAGATGCCCTTGACCATTTAAGGTTTACAGTCTTATTAGCAAATCTCAATGAATTTCTGTTTAGAGGGAGACAAAAGCCTAACTGTACCAAAGTAAATGAAGTGCTGATAGATTATGCTAAGGGGAGGGGGGGAAGGTGCAATGGAAAATTGTCAGCTCCATGCATTCTTTTTTTAATTTTTTTTTTTTTTTTTTAATCTTAGCCAGGGTGATAAACTGTCACCAAGTCTATGTTCAGCCTTCTTGGAAATCAAAAGGAATATGTGCAATGAATCTTTATAGCTCTAAGTTCTGAAAGTAAGAGCATATGCAGTGTTGCAGCCCTGGCAAGGAGGGAAAAAACTTGAATGAACTCTAGCTGTAATATATAAACAGTAACTGTTTTTAAATGGATTCTGGAAACCTGTTTGGGGTGAGGTCATTGTGTTTCCATAAGGCTAAAATAATGGTTTTCCATCTATCTCAGCTTCCAGAGTGAAGCTGTTGCGTAGCTGATCCTCAGCAAAGACAGACTGATATACCTCCTTTAGTACACAGTGTCGAAACCTGACCTAATATTAGAACTCAGTTCTTGCCCAATGTCTTCACGGGCTTTCTGGGGAGTTGAAGATAAGCACGAAGTTTGCACAAGAACTGGTAAAAAAAATATTATTTTTTTTTTTTTTACATGTATGGTTTTATAATCTTGATGTAGGTTTGAAGAGAAGTTTCAGCAGATGATCTGCTAAATCTAAAGAAGCCTTTTTAAGCTGCAGATGTAAAGAGGAAAGATGCAAGTACACATTTTCTTAGTTTCATTCCCAAATCTGTCTCATGTAGCCATCTAGTTTAGGGAAAGGGTTTACTGAAATGGTAGCTTTCACCCAGTTTTTCTTTGAATCTCATACTGTTATCAGAATCTGTAAGTTAAGCTCTTGCTGTTGCTGGCTATGCTTTGATTTGCATGAAGAAAACTACAATATACTTTCTTTGCTTTCAAGTCGCAATCTTGGATTTAATATAGCTGTATTTCTAACCTTGTTTTCTCTGCACCATAAAAAGAACTACATGACGGTGGACTGTAAAACCCTTAATTCTGCTGGTCTGAGGTAGTGAACCAAGAAACACTTCTTTTGTAGCTTCTTACAATTAGGGAGATACCATGAACCTTTGCAGATTTCACCTCTGCATTTACCAGACACAAGCAGCACTTGTCCTTGGTGTCAGGGGAAGGGTACAGGAAGGAGGAAGGCACCTCTTACTTGCCTTTCTCAGTAGCATGTCGAATTTCCATTTCACAACCATGTCCTTTACCTGTGCTAGCAAAAGCTGCACCACAGTGCCATCTGGTCAAACATCAGTACTCTCTCAATATGCCTGCAACTATCTCCAGAATGCTAAGAGAAACATACTCATGGCAAATTTGCTTTGCCATCTACTACAGTACTTCCTGTTACAAAACTTCCAGAAAAAACTTTATATGTGCACAAGTGGAAGAACAATGACAGATCATGAAATGTGTTGGACAGTTGCTCCTCATTTTCCATTAACTTCATGATGTCATGATTGACCTCAGCACTCCCTGAGAAGAGTTCACAATTGAGCTGGGTAAGGTGGTATAATTTATTATAATTAATGTATAGCAAACATGGACATGTATACAAATGATCCAGCTACCTTGATACTGGTAACGGTCATAATTCACACAACCACTTCATTTAATGGGATAGAAAATTACTAACTATGACTCAGAAATAAGTTTCAAAGACTGTTGCACAGTCACCCTCTTAGCCTTCAATGGCCGCTTTCCCTAAACTAAAATAAAATAGTCCTCCAGTCTAGCCAGAATTAACTGGTCAACAGCTCAATAGAAAGTGGTACAAGCAGCAGCATTTTCCAACAGCATAACACCTTGTACAGCCTTCATCACAAGCAGCAGCAAACAACAGTAGTAATCCAGCAAAAAGTCAACATTTCACATAATAGCCTGCATCCAGGAATTCATGGTGGAGTTGAGTATAAAGTGCCTTTTAATGACAGGAATGTGTATTTGCCACCCTAGTATGTAGATTTCATACTCGTTAAGATTTGGGCAAACCAATAAAATCCCTGAGTTATTTACATATAAAAGCAGGCTTTTTCAACAAAATTACAAATAAATAGGTAGTAAAATGTTGTTAGTGAAGATAATTTTTAAACTTGTTTGAAGCTTTAAACACACCACAAAAAGTAGCTGTAAAGAGCAAAAACTCAAGCCATAAAAATTAAAAGATTGCCACCAAGAACTCTGTGCTTACATCAAACTTTCAACTGTAATGATTTGTGAAGCGAAAGGATTTTGGCTCTGAATTAATACAGTGGATGTTCTGCAGCTGTTTTGCTCTTCTGGCTTCTAGTCTAAGCTGTCTCACTCTTTCTTTAGCAGCTAGTTCTTCTGCTCGTTTTTCTTCTCTCTTTCTTTTTAGCCATCTGGGGAGAGAGAAAGAGGTCTAGAAATACTGACAGTTGCAATTCAAGTTTTATGTCATCCATTCGAAGGAGACTTGCCCCCACTTAACTAGAGTCACCTTGCCCTGGAGGATAAACACAGGTGTCATGGCTGAGCCAGTCTATTTCGCCATCCCGTTCTCCAGCTTCTGCCACCCACCTTTGCCTCCCCCTGTTGTTAATTCAACTCACAAACTTAGAGGGAGTTAAAAAACACTCTACTGGATTATCTTTCTGCTTGCTTAATGAGCTGAATCAACCTGAGCCTGACAGGGGAGAAGTGTCTCCCTTTTTCAGCAGAAGTAATTCACTGTTTCAGCTCAGGCTCTGACAAGTTATTTCACAACACAGACCAAACAACATCAAGAAATTGAGGTATTTTTGCTAGGGTTTAAGTTTATGAGGGCATATCCATAAAAAAAGCACCAAACCAAAACAATGAGGACTTCAGCAGTAAAGACATACAATAAAATAACTATGTAGGCTGATAGACTACAAAACTTACAAATACTCTTCCCTAGGAATGACCCTACTCACTCTTTAAAGGCTCTGTTGCATTCCTCTGTTCTTGGAAAAAAGGCAATTCCCTCAGCTTGGCGCCTCAACGTTTCTAACTGTTTCTCTTTCATGTGCTCTTGGTGCTTTTTTTTAAGCCATAATTTGAAGGCTTCTTCTGGATTCCTGTCTTTCTCCTATTAAAAAAAAAAAAAGACACGCACAAGGCTTGTCACTAAATGACTTACAATCACATTATAACATTTTTTTGAACTCTGCTGTTATCTCCCATCCACAAAACATACTTTAGAACCAAAGTAAATCATACTAATCTGGCATGGAACATACACATGAGCAAGAATTCAAAGCTGTATGTTTTAAAAAAATACTGAATTTAGCTTTTCAAGCCCATTGCTGCAAGGCAGAGGAACTTCAGAAGACAGCATCTTCAGGCTTTGGTCAGGTCATGTGCACTAACTGCTTGCCAACAAGGTAAGGAATGCACTTCAAAGGGTTTTCTGGCTGTGATTCGGAGAAAACTCCAGGAACAAACTTGCCAACAAAGTTTTCAAGCTGACAAGCAGGTATTCTTTATTGCGGCGCCAGGAGACACGGGGGATAACTCCTCCTAACGTGTGTCCCCGTATTGCTATACAAGCCATCCTTATATAGTCCCTGGGCATACATACATATTCATGAGGCTACATATGGATTACATCATTTTCCAGAGTTCCCCGCATGCGTACAGAATTGTGGTGGTCTCTGAGGGTCGTTTACTTCTTCCAATAATCTTCATCCATTCTGGCAGCCTTTGAAGCATGCGCAGTAGATGCTCATACCAGTTTAATTGGTTCGTTAGCACCAGAGACATAATAATCCTCCTACTTACCAGTTAAACTGTAGCCCAGCCTGGACACCTGCGGTTCCCAGGTACTCCTTATTCCTGTGTCCTGTTCTTCTAGGCTGTTTTTTCTTAAAGCTATGTCAACTATAATGATTTATCTTGTGAGAATTCTCAGTATGTTCTCTAGCTGTGCTCTCTCTATATATTTTTCTCTATGTATCCTGCACCTCAGTAATTTTCCATTGCTACTGTTACAAAGCCATCAAACTTAACATTACTTAAAGCTACTTCTAAAGAATTCTATATCCCATCTTGTAATTTTGTCCCCCCCTTGTCTCAACTTCCCCCCTTTTTCTATCCTTTTGCAAATTCTTTTGCAACTCTCTTTTCTATATATTACCATTACCATCAAAAGTCTTTTTGAAATAGTTTCCCATTTCTACCTGGTGCTTAATTTCATTTCTTTTCCAGTCTTCATAATTTATCATAGATCGTTTGCAACACCAGAGGGAACATTGTATCATACCACAAGTAATCAATATTGAAACAATTAACACCAGTATTCCTGCAACCAGTTGCCTCAACCAGGAGAGATTGGGTAACCATGAAGTGAACTTTTTCCATATTTCTTCAAAACCCCAGGAGGTGTCACCCATGGCCATTTCATGAAATATCTTAGTTTGTTTCGAAATTTCCTCCAGATTTGTTTCAATTCTGCCACTTTGGTCTATATAGGAACAACAGCTTTCATTGATTATGGAACAAACCCCTCCTTGTGATGCCAATAACATGTCTAGAGCCATTTGGTTTTGTAATACTGTTTTAGACAGGCTGGTTATCTCTTATTCTGCCTGGATTATATAATGTTTTTGCTTTCCATTTCCTCTATAGTTGCTGAGATATTTACAATTGCCTTCTCTAATTTACTTATGCCCAAAGATGGAATTAGCCCTCTTACAAAACTATGAAATGCGGTGTGCCGTTCAATAATAGGGTTAAACCCTCTCTTAATCCGTTTAGCAAAACTTCTAACCCAGGTCCCAGAAGGGTACTTGTCGATAATAGTAAAATTGGGTATTACAGCACCTAAGGTGCATGCCCCCTTCCAGTTGGGGGGTAGAGTCTTATAAGCATTTTTTCCACATAACCAATACCATCCTTTCCCTTTAGGAATGGGCCACCATTGAACTATAATACCATCTATAGTAATAGTATGGTTGCAACTTGAATGGTGACCTACATCTGTGGCATTTAAACAAGCAAAATTTCTTACCCTGGTTTCTGATGTAATACATCTTTGTGCACAGGTATAATATTTATTACCTGGGTTAGGATTAAGTATTCCAAATGTTAACCTTTCCTTCGAATATAGATTGCTAGTGTTCACCCACAAATTTTTTCATGAGACAGTGTTAGAATTGGAACTCCAATTAATGGGAGATCCAGGCTTTCTCCTGATTTAGGCAACTGTGCACACACCCAACAGTCACTACGATTAAAACATTAGTAACATTCTGCACTAATTTTAGGTATAAGTTCTGGTCCCAAGCTTGTGTGCCAGTTATCATATGAGTCCAAATTATGACCGACACAATTTCATACGCAGGGGTACTGAAGGTTCGATCCACCATGTCTTCTCTGGCTCTAGTGCTTTCTTTATTCTTGAATAATGTATCCCAGCAGGTTGTTCCTTTATCTTCACTGCTGTAAAGGTGATCAGTAATATCTGGTACAGTCCGCTCCACTTCTGTAGAGAATCTCCTGAAGATTTTTTAGCATAAACCCAGCCTCCAGATCTGAGAGGGTGAATCAGATAATCCAAATCTCTTGTTCTTGTCCCTACTACTCTCTTATTTATCTCCTCTAATACTTTTCCCAGATTGATCAGAGACTATCGGAGATAGTCTTCCCCCACTTCCTGAAGACTTTCTCCCTTAAACTGGGACTGATATGGTCTTCCATACAAAATTTCAAATGGGCTAACCTCTTCTTTCGACTGAGGTTTAGTTCGAATTCTTAATAGAGCCAGTGGTAAACCTTGGTACTAATATAAATTCATTTTCTGACATATTTTACTAATTTGTTGTTTAATCAGATGGTTCATCTTTTCTACTTGCCCACTGGCCTGAGGCCCATATGGAACATGTAGTTCCCAACCAATTTCTAATTTTTTGCTAATTT